GAATGATAAGTCAGGTTAGAATGCCACAAGAATAATCTTGATAAGTTCTGTAAAGTTCTGAAACAAACCAAAGAGAAAAGCCTCTCAAAATCTCAGATTCAATAGCCTCCCAATTAGGGTTACAAGCCCCTTTAAATAGGAAAAAGTAATTCTAATTAGAATAGGAAACTAACACCCTAAGCCCTAATCATAATAACCACGAATTGGGCCTTAATTAAATGAATGCTCAGCCCAAAATAATATAAAAAACGTGAAAATCACTAAAAGTAACCTACAGTAACATGAAATATTAGTTTGTTACAAATCGCAACAGAATTGCGAGATTGATGCAAACTATGTAAATTAGCATAAATGACCTCAATTAAGCTTCTCTTGAACTTGAATGGTGTTTATCATGCCTTGATAATCATCCAAGCTTCAATTTACTTCTTGCATGTTGTTATCAACCCATATCTGCTCAATAAGGCCATTTAAAGCTTCTCGCATCTTCCTAGCTCTAGCTCTTGTGACTAGACCTCTTGGAACGTGTAATGGATCTCTTGACGTGGTACATGTGGGGTCATCTTGATTCCCATCAGTCTCCGTCTCTCACTTTTTTTTTTTTTCATTTTTTGGGCAAATTTTAGCATGTAAATGTAGAACTTAGTTCTACGTGTGAATTCATTCTACACTACACTCCTCAGATCAAAATCATTTTGTTTGATTATTTTCTCTCCTTGGATTGAAAAGGTTAATGGAATTTGAATCGTCTAAGTCTAGCAACAAGATGGATCCTGGATGGAAGTATAACCATGCCAAGGATCCTAAGAAGAATTATTCTATTACTTGTAATTTTTGTGGCTTCACTTGTTCCAGTGGAATTCACAGAGCGAAACAACATCAAATGGGAGGGTTTGCTAATGTGAAATAGTGTGTGAAAGTACCATTAGAAGTAAAGGAAGAGTTGTGGGCTGTTTTTTGGGAAAAACAAGAATTAAATGTGAGATCAAGTGCACAGTATGAATCTGATTTCTTTGATATTGGTGATGATACTGATGATGCTGAAGTTGAAGAAAATAGGAATTCAAGGAGTAAAAGGGCATTAGTTGCAATGCCAAGTTTTTCGAAAGCGAATAGAACTAAGGGTCCAATGGATCTTTACTTGCAAAAACCAGAAGAAGTTGTTGAAATAAGGAAAAAACAAGGCAATGGAAAGCTAATACAATCAAATATTAAAGATTTTTGTGACCCTAAAGCAAGAGAAAGAACAATTCAGTATATTGCAAGGTGTTTTTATCAAGCAGGCATTCCATTTAATGCAACTCGATTGGATAGCTTCAAGGTTATGGTGGAAGTTATTGGTCAATATGGTCTAGGCTTAAAGCCTCCAAGTTATCATGAGATTAGAGTTCCATTGCTCAAAAAGGAACTTCAACTTACAAAGAATCTCATGAAAAATCGTCAAGAGATATGGGCAAAGATAGGCTGTTCAATTATGTCAGATGCATGGTCAGATAGGAGACATAGAAGTATTATCAATTTCTTGGTAAATTGTACTGCTATGACAATGTTTATGGAGTCCGTTGATGCTTCTTCTTATACAAAAATAAGGGATAAGTTATATGAGCTTCTTGATGCTTTTGTGGAAAAGATTAGAGAGGAAAATGTTGTCCAAGTGATAATGAATAATGGCAGCAATTATGTGTTGGCCGGTAAACTCCTCCAAGCCAAAAGAAAGCACTTATATTGGACACCATGTGTAGCACATTGTGTAGACCTTATCTTAGAAGATATCGAGAAATTGGTAAATGTTAAAAGAACAATAGAAAAGGGGTATCTTTCTGGTGGGCTTCATTTATAATCATGGTGCTGCCTTGAGTATTTTGAGGACCTTTACATTAAAGAAAAAGTTAGTTAGGTAATTATTTTCAAATTATTAATTTATTTATGCTGATTTAAATTTTTATGCTAATATTCTTCTTTTTTTCTATAGGTATGGGATTACAAGATTTGCTATAACTTTTTGACATTAGAAAGGCTTCACAAGCAAAAGGCTAACCTTAGGAGGATGTTTACTTCAAAGGAATGGATGAAAACTGATTTATGCAAATGAGATAAAGGTTAAAGGGCTTATGAGATTGTCTTGATGCCCTCATTTTGGAATGAGGTTGTGTTTGTCCTTAAGGTAATGAATCCTTTAGTTAGGGTTCTTCGGTTGGCTGACAATGAAAAAAAAACTAGCAATGGGTTACATTTATGAAGCAATGGATAGGGCTAAGGAAACCATAGCCAAGTCTTTTAATGGAAAAGAAGAAAAATATCCCTGTGTGTTTTCTATCATAGATAGTAGATGGGAAAATCAACTTCATCATCCTTTACATGCTGCTGGACATTATTTGAATCCTGAATTTTATTATAATAATGAAGCAAAAATTGAATCAAACAAGGAGATTATCAAGGGCTTATATGACTCCATTGAAAGACTGATTCCATCTATTGAGGATCAAGACAAAATCTTTAGTCAATTGCACAAGTACAAGGAAGTTGAAGGCATGTTCAGTTGCCCACCAGCCATAAGAAATAGGAAAAAAATAGCACTTGGTAAGTGCTTTACAGCTTTGGTTTAATGTATTTTTGTTTTTGTTATTATTAACCATTAAGCTTTATTTGATTGAGCATTTAACAAGTTAGCAACTATTTAATTTATTTCCTGCATTTGTAGCTGAGTGGTGGAGTTTGTATGGATCTGAAACTCTTGAATTGAAGTAATTGGCTATTAAAATCTTGAGTTTAACTTGTAGTGCTGTTGGTTGTGAAAGCAATTGGAGTGTTTTTGAACAAGTAAGTTTTAGTAATTTGGTTACAATCTTTTATTTCATTTTTTTCAAACTTAATTTAGTTTAACTATTTTAAATTTTGACTTCCAACTTCATAGCAAGAAGAGAAATAGGCTTGAGCATAAAAAATTGCAAGATTTGGTCTTTGTCGAGTACAATCAACAACCTAAAGCTCATTATGATAGCAAGGATGTGATTGATCCCATTGCTCTTAATTGTATTGATGAGTGTAATGAATGGTTGATTGGAGAAATGGGTGGTGGTGATGCTGAAAATGAACTAGTTTTTGATGAAATGGAAGAATTTACTTAGGGGGATGTTGCTGTAGCATCTGGGGTTGGAGAGCCTAGAATTTACACTAGACGAAACACTGCAGAAAAAATTGGGAGGAAAGAGGCTTCAAGCGCTAAGGCATTAGCAATAGCTAGATCTAGATATGATCTTGAAGAGGAGGAAGAAATGGTGGATGCAGAGGATACCGAGGAGGAAGAGATAGAGGGCTACAACTCTAGTGATGGAAATGAGAGTAGTGATGATGCTCAAATAGATGTTGATGAGGATAATGATTTAAATTTTGATTGAAACTCTTTTTAGGATTTTAGAATCTTAGACTGTTGAATGAAATCAAAATTTGAAACATTGCATTGGTGTTGAATTAAATTTTGGTGATTTTCATATTATGATTCTTGAATTATGTTTGTTCGTTCCTTTTCCTTGAAAAAAGTGGCTCTACATACTTGAAATAACTCTTCTCTTTTTATTGAATGGGTTGCAGGAGAGTAAAAGACTTGAAGAGTTTAAAATTTTAATGTAAGTATACTTGCAATTTTTGAATTTTAGCAATTTACAAATAAAATATGATTTTTATGCATTATAATTTTTAATTTTCTGTTTTTGCTCGCTTCACTTCAAAGAAGCGATTGCTTCGCTCGCTTCAACGTTTTTTAGGTCATCGCTTCGCCTCTCTTTTTACCTTTAACAACACTGTTCCATACCACTATAAGTCTGGAATATCAACCTTTGATATATATATATAAGAAATTAAATTTTTTTTTTAGTAATTATGTAATATGTTTAAAAGAAATTTGAAGAATATATTATTATTATTATTATTACTACTACTACTGCTATTATAAAAATTATAGGAATCATATTTAACATTCTTTAAAATAAAATTAAAATAATAAAATATTACATAAACTTAAATAAACAACTAATTTAGCAATTAAACTTAAGCATATTAATTGTAATTGTAAAGAAATGATAAAATAGAGATATATAAATAGTTATAATTACCACCAAAAATTAAGAAAAAAATCCACAATATATGCTACAAATAACATCAAAATAAAATTAAAATAATCAATAAGGAATTAGTTATACCCATTTTAAGTGGTAATTTTTATCATTTCCTACAAAAAGAAAAGAGATACAATT